AACCATAAAGGTGAGAGTGGCATGTACTATAATATGCTAAACACATCTTCCTGCAACTGTGACAACACTGCTTTGATTCTATAACATAACAATATTTTGGGACAACATGGGACCGGTATTCGTCCATCTCAGCTGTTCCATCCTCAAAACTAAATTAAAATGATTAAAAAATAATAATAATAAAAAATTCTAAACCCAGCCCTTTACAATCGTATACTTATTAAGCTTTTCCTTAAACTCACTTAAATTTACTGCCTCTACAACATCTGAAGGCAACACATTCCAAAGGCTAACCACCCTGTTAGAAAAATAAAACTGTCTGAGCTGAAGATGTCTCCTATCTTGCCAAAATTTATATTTCTGTCCCCTAGTCCTACTATTCTCATTGTTAAATAAAAAAAAAAGATGATACATCAACATTATCAATTCCCTTTACAATCTTAAACACCTCAATCAGATCCCCCCCCCAACTCTTCTTTTTTTCAAGAGAGAACAATTTGAGAGATTTCAGCTTCTTGTTGTATAACAACCCCTCCATCCCAGACACCATTCTAGTAACCCTTCTCTAAACCCTTTCCAACAATTCAATGTCTTTCCTAAGCTAACCAGTGACCTATACAATGAAAATTATAACCTCTTTAGACTTGTATTCAATATTTCTATAGATACAACCTAAAATCATATTTGCCCTACCACTAGCAACAGCAAATAGTGCATGCCCTCTCCAATTCTCTTGATCATACAAGCAGAAACAAAAAAACTACCCAAAAAAAATGGAGATTTGCAGGCTACATAACTTTTTCAACCACTGTCTATGGTAATAATAGTATTTATTTTCATATTTTAATTAAACTTGTTTTTAAGTAATTTTCAAATTCTCCTTAGATTCATATGATGGATATCTTTTGAAATTGAAGGTTGCCATTCATACATCCTGTGCAAAACATTTTTTTTGGCAAATGCACTTCTAATGTTGACTGAATACCACCATGCTGTCTGGTTGCCATTATGTTTGTTTTTTAAAATATACAATAATTGCCTTCTGATCTTCTGTAAACTAGATAGGTTGATAAATAATGAAAACATGTTTTACTATCACTGATAAGAACAATGTTCTTATTTAAAATATATCACATTTGCAGTTAGAAACAATTAAGTAGTTAGCTAATTTATTTTTGTACATTGAGTAGAATAAACATAAAATACTGAAATAAAAATTTGAGTCATCAGAATATTTTGCAATTGCCTACCATACTAACTGAACAATAAACTCAACGAAAGTTATCTATTTAAAAGTAAAAATCTAATTTTAGAATCAAACATTGACAAAATACCTTTATTAAGCCTTCAGAAATCTCCATTCATGTGACTTTTTTATTTCATACTGTGTGTATATATATTTGTATCTTGGGAAACCACTTGTACCTCATGATGACATGTTCTCCAAACATTGTAAATTTGTTACTGTTGAACGTTTAGTAAACTTTTCTTTGTTACTCATTCAACCCATCTCTAAGTTGTGTAGCTTACTTTATTTTAAGTTATCTGATGACTTCTCAATAAAGAACATTTCTATAGCTTTTAAACAGATATATAATTTAACACAAATAGGCAACTCCATGATAGGGGGCTTTAATCACCAAATATTAAATCTTTATAAAACCATATAAAAGTTTCAATACTGATGTAAAACGTGTAGAATCTGGTTCCAAACCAAATTTTTATTGCTGATGGTTCATTTTCTTAAAAATAGCACTTCTATTGGAATGCATTTTTAGCATTAGAAAGAAGGAAAAAAGGCTTCCATTGCAAACCCTTCCCTCTTTCCTTTATCTCCAATTCTAGTAACTCCATTTTTGCTTATTATTTGAGATCATGAACCCTAAAACTGAAGTGCAGAAAGCAGTTCTGTAAATTTCATACTTTGCCTTAGGTGATGACATATTTTCATCAATTTTGTCCGTAATTCTGTTACCAAGAAGAGTCGTAAAAATTTTCCTATGGGCTATCTATTGGTTGGAATTAAAACCTATTTAAAATTTAATTATTAGGTTTATTCAGTGATATGTTAGATCACTCATTTTTAGTGTTTTTTTTCTGATCTTGTAGAAATCCTAGTAACGGAATTATGGTAACAGAATTACATGAGATTGTCTCTTGCTGTGTAAGCCTATAGTAATAGAACCTAATTCACAGTTTCAGCACCAGAGATTAGGGCTGACAAATAAGGCATTGTTTTAGTTTAATTTCAATGTACGTGATAGAGGGCAGCAACAGTTTCCTATTTCCAGAAGGTTCCATGCCATGATCCTTAAGACAAAAGACAAATTGTAGCTGCACAAGTTTAAATCACACAACATCCAGTCATAAGGTGAGTAGACACACCAACACATCAAGTAAATATTCAATAGAACTACATAGAAGTGTTTTGTTGATAAATTTGTTGTACAGATTGACTTTCCTGAAAATTTCACAACAAAAACTCGTAATGAAATTCAGTCTGCATATTGGGCTTACAATCAGGTCACTCTGTTCACTGTATGTGTCTGGGGCAGGTGGGGGGAACACATTCAATAGTGATAATTTCTGATTACTTGCAACATGACAAATATGCAGTTAAAATCTTCCTCAGGGCCATCCTACAACACTTATATTCAACTGTTCATTAGTTTCAGAAAGTAGTTGGTTTTTTCTGAAGTTCCATCAAATCAGTTCAAACAGTGCTTCCTTCTCTCAAACATCACACTGTTAAACAGAAATATAGAGTGGAATTTCTTTGCCACTTCTCATGGCAAAGATCCAGTAGATGGCATTGGAGGAACCACAAAAATATTGATCTCCTCATAAGTGATGTCTGGCAAAGCAGAGGTAACAACATCCAATGAATTAGGTGAGGTTGCTGCCAAGAAATGCCAAAATATTCAGATATAACATAAGCAAAGCTGGATGATGATTGGAATGAGTACACAGAGTCACTGTGGTTGCACCATTTGTCATCAATCTACAGCAGCATGCAAATTCTCCTCCCACAAGGCACCACTTCAAAGGTGGAAATGCTGGTGAAGATGGTGATGACATTGATGATGATGGTGAAGAAGATCCCACAGTGAAAAGGGCCATTAGAACCAACCTTGACAACAAACCAGAAGCCTTGCCTAATGATCTTAACATGAAGTGAGTGGTTGTCAGATGCTCTGGCCAAGGAAATGGCAAGAAACTTGCTGGCCAGGTTCTTGAAACTCAGGACAATAAAGTCACCATCATGTTCTTGAAAAAGGTGGAATTTGGCAAATTGTCTTGACAGTTCCTGTGTAATTAAGATACTCACCGAACTACAGCTGGATAGACATTCAAGAATTGCCTTTTCAGATGGAGCTGAGTTGGCTTAAGTACATGTACATACATCTGTTGTTTTGTCTATTCTACACACTATCAATAGGCTTGAAGTAGCATCATAATAGAAAAATTCAGTTCTCTGAGTGCATATCTATAAGGAAGAGTATTCTGAGGTGGTATTGATGTATTATTCATGTATATATTCAGACAGGTAATTCCGTTACTGAACTATTCTTGCTAAATTTAGACAAACTGTGTATAAATATATTAGGACCAAACCCTCTTCCATGAATTAGCCACCATCCATATCTACCTTGTAATGCCAGCCATCAGCTTCAGTTAGCTACAAGATTCAGATGGAATGTCATGACATTTGTTAAAAACCAATTTTGAAATTTTCTGTGCAATTCCATTACCAAAATAAAATCAATCATAATTTCATCCCTTTGTTAGAATTTGTTTATAAATACAACTGTTTATTATAGGGAAGAGTTTGTACTTCCCCAGCCTACTCAAGTTATTCTTCAAGGCACAAACTGAGCTTCAGCATTTGTAACCAAATTCCAAAAATTGTTGTGAATTGTAATTTAATTACTGTGGAATTGCCCAAACAATTTTACAATTCAAAAAGAAAAGAAACATTTACAGAAACTATAAAAACCTGTTAACCCAATGTATATGTACTATTACATGATAGGCTAATCGTTGCTCTATCCAATGAATCATAGGTTTGAAAAATGTTTAACATGTGTATTCCATTTCATTTATTTTTTGTATTGTTCATTGAATATCGTGTATTGATTTTTGCACATGTTTTGAAAAATAGTTTTACTTCCAACAATGAAAGAAGTATTCAACTAACACTTGATGTAGGCCTAAAGTTAAAGCTAGTCTTATTTATAAGTATTTTATTGTTTTTAGGGTGATAAAGTTTACCAACTGTGTATTAAAATTTGTTTGAAAATGTCACAAAGTAATATATTTGTTTTCAGGTTTTGTACTACTAGGCATATATGTATTTTTATATGACAGTTTAGGATGAACAAAATAAATTACTCCTACATTATTGCACCTGAAAATAGGATTTCCTCTAGCTTTTCATATAGTTTTGTTGCAAATTTTTAAGGCAATTTTATATGTTAACTCTAAGTACTTAAACAATTTTAACTCAAAAATATTTCTCAGTTTATATTTTGTTGTATTCTGATATTCATATTATTAGATATAATTCATGAAAAGTTAATAATTTAATTTCTGCACAGCTGCAAAAAATTTTGCTTATAAACAAAACAACCTACTTGTTGATTTATTTTTAGAATTTTTCTGCCCATCTCACAGAAGAACCTTATCTTTACTAAGAACCTATTGCTCCTTGAAAACATATGTTTCTTGATTTTCAAGATTCTCTTAATTTTTGTACAAGCCTTGGTTGAAACCTTGCTATGACATAAATTGGTTTAATTCTTTATAATAAAACATAGCTTTGAAAACAGCTATAAAGAAAATTTAAATTTGATTAGATAGAGCAAGAACTAGGCTATCACATATTAATAAAATAAATATAGGTTTAAGTTTTTCTATAATTTCTGCAAACTTTCTTTCCAGTTCTTTTTGTCGTGAATTGTGAAAGTATTTGTGTGTTACATTCTGTCTGAAAGCTACAGAAATTCTCTTCAGTGAGAAGCATCAGATAATTTGAGGTAAGGTGTGAGGCTTGTATGGTTTAGAAACAGGTTGAATGGGTAAAAAAGAAAGGTATTAAAAGTTTAACACTGTAGCAAATGTACAATGTGTGTAGAAATTTTTGTCATCATTGGATACAAGTAGTTTACTTAAGACACAGAAATATGTATACATTACAAAGCAGAGAAGTCACATTATTGAATATTGTTTAAGGCTTAATAAAAATATTTTGCTGGTTTTTGGTTCTTTGTTTAAAATTAAGGTTGTTTTTATTTTTAGTAGATATACTATGGTTTTCTTGAGTTGCAATGTTTGTAAACATGAGTTGTTTTTGTTATGTTTAACAAATAAAATACATTTGTCAACAAATCAAAGAAGCTTACTGTTTGGTGAATATGGTAGGTGATTGTAAAATATTGTGATGACAAATCTTTACTAATTATTGTTTTTATGTTTATCTTATTCAAACAATGTACATAAATAGTTTTACTAGCTACTTCATTATTTTTAATTCTAATTATGACTTTTTCAATGAAAACATTATTAAGCTTTTTGGGAGAATAAACTGTGTTTTAATTATTTAATTATCAATTCATATGATGTACTGAATATCAGTGTGAAATTACTGCATATTTTAAAAACAAACAATGATGAATGGTTTGTGGTATTTAATCAACATTAGCAATTCATCTGCCAAGTAAAAAGTGACCATAAAACTTATTGGATTTTTTTTGACAAATGTGGAAATGGCAATCGTCAGAAGGAGTATCATATGAAATCAAGAATAATTTGAAAATTACTTGGAAAAACAAATAAGTTGATTTAAAAGAAAATAGGAAACTTAATACCATCATGTTTGCTTGATGCAGTGGTTGAAAAAGCTAAGATGTAAGCATATACCCTTTTTTTTTCTTGTATGAGTTGTAGGGGGTGTTGTGTGTTAATCAATTTAATGAGTGCGTAATCAACTAATTGGTTAGAAAATACCACTAATCACCCAGCACTAGTGGTGAAAACCATTGAACAAAATCAAAACTCCTTTTATATGATGGAACTTATGCCTTTGTCACTTTGTACATAAGCCAGAAGGTGCCCATTTCCTCAGCACCTCTAGTTTTAACACCATCAGTATTGTCCAAGCAATTCCTAAACTTATTTGATTATAAATCTTTCTTTCCAGAACTTTAAGATAAATTTCATGCATTTGCTTAAGAGTAAATGGCTCATGATTGGATAACTATGGCAAATTAAAATGTGCTTAATCCTTTGGTAAACAATCAGGAGTCGGACATGTGCCACTGTAAGAATTTGTTAATGTTACTTTTTCTTATATGTATACACACACACACACACATACATATACACGTGTGAACTTAAATGATCTTCTCAAAAGATCAAATGAAAAGTGGTGTAAAATACACAATACAACATTTGTTAGCTAAATTAATGAAGAAATGAATAACTTTGGAACAAAATATTAGCAACAAGACTAAGAAAACTAGTTTGACACTTGTTTACAGTATAGGACTGAAGTGGAGACAAGAAAATGTTAAAACTACTTTCACAGCCTTTGTGCTAATATTGTATTCCTACATTTCTTTTTTTTTTGTTAATCAAAAGCAGACATTACTGTAAGACCATTCAAGACCAGTTGATAGTTAAGAATCATTATTGGAAAAATTAGATATGTGTGGGACTATATTAATAATTAGAAGAAAGCCTAACATCACTTAGACCTACAGTGTACACATATTTGTTATTATAGGGTAAAGGTGAGAGGAATAGATTCATAATTTTAAATTCAAGATACTTAAACAACTAAGATATTTTTTAATCCAAAATTCATCATCATTATTACATTATTTTGAAGTTCAAGATTTATAATCATTTTAAATTGTGGAGTCCAGGAATAATATTAACTTAAATTGTATTAATATCTATAAATGCATAATATTTAATTATATCTTCTTTTTTTTTCTGCTGATTTATTGTTAATGGAGTGCCAGTTTTTGTTTTCCTTACAACTAGTAAAGATTTTCATTATTTGCCTAAGCTACACATCCAACATACATATAAAAAAAACAGTTAATTTTGTATAATTTTAGGTTTAACTGAAGGTAACTACTTTGTTATAGTGTGGTGGCTGCATATTAAAATGGTTAATTAAGAAGTTGTTTCTTTCATCAATAAAATAATATTGATGAAATTGAGATATGCAGTGAACACTTTAACTCAGTGTAACTACCATATATACAACTATTTATTGATTCATAGCTTTGTATTTATAGTCTGAGCCCCCCCCCCCCCCCGCGAATTTTTCACTGGATGGTACCATTTGAGGGCACTAAACTTTATAATGATATTTTGATAGTTATATATCTGAGGGTCTTGAATATGCATGATGGACACTTGAGGGTGATAGCTTAGTGTCAGAAATTAAAGGTGTATGTGGTAGGGGTTGCATCATTTTTACTGTTATTCAGTACATTTCAGATTCATGTATATAAATCCAATAGTTCCATTCAGAAAAAAGACTAAAAGTTTAACAAGATGCACATGCAAGAAAGATTAGTTTCACCTTGGCAAACATTTAATAAAATATATATATATATATATATATATATGTTTTAGTTTTTAAAACCAAAAAAGAAATCACACTGAAGGCCAACCAAAGGCTTCAAATGAACAACATTACAGTTTGTAAACTGAATGCAATTGTATTGATCATAACAAACTGTCATATTTCCTCATCATCAGTTTCCTCTTCCTCATTGTTGTCAAGACTACTGTTTTCAAGTATATCATATACTGTTCCATCACTCTTCATATTTCACAGGTTTGCAAGTGACATGTTTCGATGTATTTGAGTCCATTTGCCATGCACTGACATTCAGGTAGCTGACATCTGTGCAATCATTTGCATGACATGAATTCCATTACTGTATTTGGAGCTGGAGAACTTGTCATCCAGTTAATCTAGAGCTGTCCCTCTGCATCCAGAATCCAACCAAGACAGTCCAAAGGACTGAGTACATTGGTTTGCGCTTCAAGACTTCGGTACAATATTGTTGACTGATAGTTAGCTCTCACAGCATGCAAATAGAGACAATCTCTGCATAGAGGGAGTTGTCCAGATTCCATGTTTTCCTTCTTTGCTCTGAAGAGGTTGTACCTCAACTCATTAACATCATTGATGGCTGATGTGGATGAATACAGATGGCATGTGAATTCTTGGAGTTCATTGAAAAGTTCATCTGATATGGTCCAATCCTTGCCAAGTTTTGCAAGTGTTTTTTGATACTTCTCACTTTTCAGAAGTTTTAATCTCCCAAGATTTCCCACATCCTCCAAATGCACTTATGGTATTACAACCCGTGAAGCTGTGCAAACCCAAAAGTGCATTACAAACATTTAGCCCCACAGTCATGGTAATTTTAGAGATGTCAAGGAACTGGATTCATGTTTTTATGCCACATTTTACAAATGTGTTGCTGTTGATATCCTTTTGATAAGCTTGACATAGGATAAACACATCTGTATCCTCAGCATGGATAACCACTGAATCAAAGTCTGTTGAGGGATGTTTGGCATGAAGTATATGACTGTCTGCTTCATCTTGTGATGTAGTAAGTTCATTTATTTGAGACACATCATGCCTTGTCAGTTTGTAATATTTCTCTATGCACGTTATGTACAAGACCTTATCCTAAAGTCTTTGTCTTATATAGGGCTCTTTCCAGTCTTCAACAAGAAACTATTTACTTCACTATGCTAGCTCCACATTGCAGGAGGTGCCACCATTGCTGAATCTGGTGTCTAGGCATTATATATATGTGAATCGAAGATCAGTGTCAGATCCTAAAGTGACCTCTGCAGTTTTCATGGATAGATATGAGTAAACTTCAAATATCATATCATTCATCTCGCTGATAGCTGATGTGTGCAGAACTGCATCAAATAACTGTACTGATAGTTTAATGAAGGTTAGGTTGTCACCATTCATCTTGTGAATGAGGTTCATCCCATCAGTGATAGAGGTTGTCAGTGCTGCAATAATATCTGCTCGTTGCCCCTGGTTTAAGGCTGAAGCCTTTTGTGCCCCCAGAAGTCCTTGTTCATGGTCTCTTCAATTGTCTCATGAACAGGAATTCTGCCAAACAGATTGCAATCACTGATTTGAATAGAGAAGCCTCCATGTGGGAAATGCAAATAAATTTGAGGATTTGTCTCTGATAGATGCATCATATGGTTGTAATACACTGGTAAATGATGTGCGTAATTTTGCTTGTCATACGTGAAACACCAATGTATTATACTCTGAACTGATGGCAAATGAAGAAACCAGTCTCTTGATCTTGATAACTGCAGGAGCCCAAGAAGGATTTCAACATGGTCAAAAAAGATTAGCCAAAATGCTGATAGTTGACCATTTCTCAAATGCAACAGCAGAAGGCATTCTTTGAAGAACTGAAATATCCTACAGCAGGAAGAATCTAGAATCAAATGTTTCTTGGTACATTTTGTCATGTTATGATGTAATAGTGTTGAGAGCATTATTCAGTAGAGGTAAGTTGACACTGGGATCATTTTCAATCTAAGATAAGAATCCTTTCCAGACAAGCAGCATCAAAGCCTCATACACCAGTATGTACAATCTAATTCCATGGTTATATTTGCATCCTTCCAACACATTGTCAGTCAATCCTTCTGAAATAGTACTGGATTCCACAGCAAGATCCCACAATCCAACAGCATCAAATCTTTTGCCACTGATCGAGAGTAAATTGCATATTATGTAAAATGCACCCATTCTCAGGACAATGGTTTTGAACATTTCTTCATTTTTCCATATGATTTCTGCTGCCTTTGCATATAATGCTTGGTCAAAAACACATACAATGTCTTTGACGTTCAAGGGCTCTTTGATTCTTGTTACCTGCTGGAGGATCTCATTGACTGTTGACAGTTGAGTCACTGGCACATTTATCATTGGAAGATATTCACTTGTGTACTTCTTTACTGCGATGGTGTTTCGGATCAGCACATTAAAATCTGTCCAGGAACTAACCATCTGATCTTCACTATTTTCATGTGCAGTGTCCTAGGCAATTAAGGATCTTAATCAGTTCAACATTTCCTGTAAGAGACCTAACCATCCATTGTAAAAGAATGTGCTTTGGTGGTTTCACAGTACCTGCACTGATACCTTGCACACAATCTTGAGCTAATAACATGATTAAATGATCCAATCAAGCATTCTGGCCTTTGGTAGAAGTCATGATATTACCTGACAGTAGGCATCTTAAGAAGGCTACCAAGGAAGTTGGCAAGGGCATAAATTCTTCTCTTAGTTTATCTGGCTGTGGTGGCCATGGGTTATTTGTTTTTATTTTTTTGATATTAGGTCTGACGTTAATTGCACAATTCTTGATTAGACCATCAGGATCTTTCATTTCTGCAGCGTGTTTGAGCTGTTTCTTCATAACTATATTTTCCTTTGCTACATCTTGAATTGATAGGTTGTCTAGGATAACAAGAAGTTTTCCTCTGTCATTCCCAAAAATGTGAAGGGATTTGCCATATTTTGTTTCAAGTTTGTGGCAGATATGCTTTTTTGTTTGTGGCTTGATCTCCTGACCTTCATACCCTAGGGTGCTCATGAATTGTACTAACAGTTCTGACAAATGTGTGATATTGATTATGTGGGGCTTTGAAAACATTGTTCCTGAGGTGATAAAATAACATCTGATATACAACCTTTTCAGTGTTGTAATAATGCTGATCAGGATCAGATCGAGTTGCAGGTGATGTTTATATTCTCTGGTACTTGTGATACCGGGCTTCAGCTGACACTAGTTCTCTGGACATCAATGACAAGATTTTCTGATCAAGTTTTCTCATTCCTGCCATCCAAACGATTTTATCTGACCAAAGTTCTCTGCACTGGGATAGGGGTTCTCTGGATTTTGATCCTTTGAAATATTTACTCTTGTTTTCACAAAATATGTATATTTCATTATACACTCATCCAATGATGACATTAGATATTTCCCTCAGTGATAATTCTTCTTTTTTGACTGAATGGAGAAGTTAATGTTTCAGTGTTTTGTAGTCATTCAAGTTTTTTTTGTGGGTGAATGTGGTCTGGGATTTTCTGTGGTAGTAAACTATATCACCGCCTGCACTTGCTTGAAGGTCTAGTATTGGATGAAAGTTTTGAATCTCAGCTGCCTTGACCAGTGAGTCCATAGATTCTGGATCTTTTGGCTTTGAAAGTTCATTCAAGTAATCATTTTTTGGACATATAATACAGGTCGCTGTTCTTTCATCCTTGGTTTGTTGTCATTTGCTTGCAGGTGAGCCCACCATATTTGGTGTCATTGTTTCACTGAAATCTGTAACAAGACAAATAACCAAGTTAAAAAGAAATTCAAATGTGCCAAAACATTGAAAATTACTTAGCTAAATCTGTAAAGTAAACTTACAAGAGTATTATTATACTTGATTATGTGACAAACTTATTTAAACATGTATATCAGCCACTACATGAAACACCAATTGGCCAGTTCAAATTCACACACAATGCTGCTGAAGAAGACATATCTAATTTGTAGAAAACATGTTCATCAGTATGAAAAGGAAACTTATCTTAATGGATTTTATATATTAACTTACCATGGGAGTACCAATTACATATACATATGCTATCAAAAATATAAAAGGAATGTACGTCATGAACCTGGAATGTTGCTATTTTGGTACAATTTGTATAAGGAAAGGTTTTGTATTCTGTACAGGTACCAAATGAATAATTGTTTCAAGAAAAAGTATCTTGTATCATTCTGAAATTCAAGACAGTCATTCATTTAGTAAAAGCAAATATAATAAAACATTTTGACAATCATTGAATCAGTTGAACTACCACAACCGACAACTCCACTGAACAACTCAAAGTCTACTATAAAAACCAATTCTCCACTGCATACAAGACAGACGAACGGATTCTAAAGGATATTGTTTACAAAAATACTACACCAAAGAAACGGAACAC